GGGAAAACGCTTCAACTTTTTCTTGTTGAGTATTTCCCTAGTTCTTTCTTTCTTTTTTTCTTTTTTTTTTTTACGGTACGCGGGCCTCCCACTGTTGCGGCCTCTCCCACTGTGGAGCACAGGCTCCGGGCACGCAGGCTCAGCGGCCATGGCTCACAGGCCCAGCCGCTCCGCGGCATGTGGGATCCTCCCGGACCAGGGCACGAACCCACATCCCCCGCATCGGCACGTGGACTCTCAACCGCTGCGCCACCAGGGAAGCCCCCTTGGTGTATTTGTGAGGGAAAATCCAGGACACTATGTAGGGGCCTAATCATGAGGGACTAATGAGACTACTGAGGAAGTTGATTTTTATTTGTAGCCTGTTGGATGTGTGGCAGCAGAAAACTGTGGGACAAAGGGAGGGAGAGGAATAAATGAATGAATGAATGGTTGAATGAGTGAATCAACACACACAAGGGGGGCCTGAGTTCCTTATGCTGATCACGTGGCTTTTCTGGGTCCACAGCCCCTTTCCTCCACTCTCACCTCTGAAGACTCCCTCTTCATGTCTCCCGTTCCCTTCTCTCAGGTGAGCATAAGGATCATTTGCTCCCCTACTCTGTTATCAGGTATGTTGGAGACACTGAGCTGTCCTCTTCATGTCACAATTTTCCTTTGCCAGCACTCCGTAGGGATGAGTCACAGGGACTGTTTGTGGGAGGTGGATTAGGCAGTTTAGGGGAAGTGGTTGTTAGTAAAGGGCATAGGGAGATGGAAGATAAATAAGGATTAGAAATCTAAGCCTAGAGTTTCATTTTAGGATAGAAGAGAGGCTGCTGCAGTACATTTCAGTGTCAAGGAAGGAAAGTAAGTCGTGGAGGAGCCTCTTGTTAGTGGGAAGGCAGTATTTGTCTTCCCTTCTCACCTTTTGCTTTTCTCTCTTTACCCCTATTTATTCACTTAATTTTTCCTTTCTGCCTTAGGTTCTGACTTTTTTGCCTTCTTTTTTCTTCCCCAGCTTTCTGTATCTTTGGATGGGTTGCCTGTTCTTTGGTATAAATACCCTTTGATTAGCTGATCCTGTTAGAGGAAGAGTCTCATCCAGCTTTGCCTCTCTGTGTGTTTCCAAACTTTTCTTCCCAGTAGTAGTATTCATAGACGCTATACATCAACCAAACCAAACTACTCAACCCACTGGTATTATATTCTTTTCTCACTTCTCCACTGTTCCAATCCCACCTGTCCTTCCAGGCCTGCTACTTCCTCTGGTAAGTTGGCCTGATTCTCAGCTTCCTTTCTGCTGCCTTCTGTGCCACCTCCCAACTCCCATAGCTCTTTGCACCTCACTGATTACTTTACTTGAGTTATTTATGTCTGTGTTTTACTTTTGTGAAGCTATGTGTTTGATGACATGATTGCTGTGTCATTCATTCTGATTTGCTCAGTGGCTCAGTCCAGTCCTTGCAACACTTGTCGAGTGAATGACTAGGCCTGCTTTATTACTTATGTTGAGCCAGTTTGTGGTTGCCTATTTTTCATTTCTGCCAATGAGGACAAGTTGCCAGATAGTTCTGGCTTAGTTAGTGGCCCTCAGTTCTCAGTTGTAAGATTGAAAGTTCTCTTCATAAGATTGAAAATCTGTAGATGGATTTGAGGAGCCACTGAAGGATCGGGAAGGGACTCTGAGTCTTGTTTTGTGGTTTCTCTGGCTGGTGGCATGCCAGGGGCTGGAAAGGTGGGAAGACAGTTATATATTCTGAGAAAGCCATTGAAGTTGACCCAGCTGTAGCTGATAATAGAAAGATTTAGAAGCCTCCATCAGACTAATTAAATTGAGGTGGAGCATGTGAAGTCTAAATGAATGCAGAGAGTCTGAAAGCCAAAATTTGAACTCACTAAAGGCATTTTGGGGATTATGTCCTGACAACATGACATCAACAGACCATTTTACCACGCACCGCACTGAAACAAGGACAGAGACAAATCGGTGCCTGTCAATAGCGAGTGGTGAAGGAAGGGAAGGAGCCATGCCCAGTGAGGAATGGCTGAAGAAACTGGTGATGTTTTAGACTTGGGAAGGACAGGAGAACTGTCTGAAATAGTTCAAGCATTGTCAAGTTAAAGTGGAGCTCTTCTTATATGTCTCGTGGTTGTAAGCTGCAGAAAATAAGATTTCAGGTCAAAATATAAGAAATAACTTCATAGAGCTGTCTAAAGAAGTAATGAGTTGACTTGACAAGTATTAAGTTCCCTGAAAGACCACTAGACTAGAGATTCTAAAGGTAGCTAGTAGTAGTAACACACACTGCCCCACTCTCCTGTCTTGTGCCCTTGGCTGGCATTGCTAATGGTTCATGACCTTTTTTTCCCCTTAGTCTTAAAGGCCTAAATTCCTTCTCACGATAGCTCTATTAAATTGGAATTGGCCTATAAATTGAAATCTTCTTCCCATGCCTGGACTAGGTGATGTTTACAGTCTCTTAAAACTGTGAAAAACTACAATTCTAAGATTTGTAAGTCGCACGTG